CCGTTTTGTGGGTAACAAGGAAAGTAGAATTAACGATCATTAAAAACGAAGATTCAAACTAGTTGAAGATGAAGAATATAATCTACAAAAAAATATTCAGATGTCTACCGCCAACCGAGGTATTACGAATAAAAATTATTTATTCCCTATCACTTTTTAAAAAAGTTTTCTCATATAACTTGCTCCCAACATAATTACAATGCACAACATGTCAACCTGGGGAAAGACTAACACATTAACTCTACGGGACGATGCGAGGTATAAATCTTATATACAAATTTTTTTTCCATACGTATCACCTTAATTTGAGTTTACAAATTTGATCTTCATTAGATTACGGGTCCAAAGAAGGTTCCAGATTATCGGCCGATCGCGCTATGTAATACTCATTACAAAATCATAGCAAAGTTACTGACCCGGAGATTACAACCGCTCCTCCCTACTCTGATATCGGATCATCAATCTGCCTTTGTTAAGGGAAGGGTGATTTCTGATAACGTACTTATAACTCATGAAATTCTCCACTATCTTCAACACTCTGAGGCCAGAATCAGATGTAGTATGGCCATTAAGTCAGACATGAGTAAGGCGTATGATCGTATAGAGTGGGGGTTTTTGCGCAATGTTTTAGACCGTTTTGGTTTCCATGAACAATGGGTCTCTTGGATCATGACATGTGTTACCTCGGTATCAAATTCCTACCTCATCAATGGAGCAGCGCAAGAAAAAGTGGTACCTTCGAGAGGTATCCGACAGGGCGACCCGTTATCTCCATATCTGTTCATTTTGTGTACAGAGGTTTTATCGGGTTTTTGTAAGAAGGCCCAGCAGAAAGGAGATGTGGTCGGGGTTAAAGTTGCTCGTAATAGCCCGGCAATTAAACATTTACTTTTTTCCGATGAAACTATGTTCTTCAGTAGAACGGATCACAAGAGCTGTGCGGATTTAATCTCGATACTGAAGAAGTATGAGGAAGCGTCGGGCCAGTATATTAACCTGGAGAAATCTGCCATAACTTTCTCTTCAAAGACACCCGGAGATTCAAAGAGGCGGATCAGAGATCAATTCCAGATTCTGAATGAAGGAGGACTCGACAAATATCTGGGCGTACCAGAGCACTTTGGTCGGAAGAAACGCGATATTTTTGCCTCGCTAGTTGATCGGATCCGGCAAATGTCCCATAATTGGACCTCCAGATTTCTTTCGGGAGCTGGGAAACTGGTGCTGTTGAAAGCAGTCATGGCTGCTATGCCTACTTATTCCATGTCTTGTTTCAAGTTACCATTGTCCCTGTGCAAACAGATTCAATCAGTGTTGACGAGATTTTGGTGGGACATGACTCCGGATATTAGGAAGATGTGTTGGGTCTCATGGCAAAACCTATCCAAACCTAAGAGTGTTGGGGGTTTAGGTTTTCGAGAAATTGCACAATTTAACGATGCAATGTTAGCGAAACTATCATGGAGGATTTTGAAAAACCCTGATTCTCTACTGGCTCGTATCCTCCTCGGAAAGTACTGCATACACTCATCTTTCATGGATTCCCAGAGTCCATCATGCGCTTCTCAAGGCTGGCGTGGAATTCTTGTAGGGCGTGACCTGCTGGCTAAAGGCATTGGATGGGCCGTGGGTTCAGGTTCGGAGATTGATATCTGGAGAGAACCATGGTTATCTACAAGCGTGCCTCTGGCACCTATTGGACCTCCAACTCGAGAGACTTAAGGTTGGAAAGTTGATAAGTTTCTTCTCACAGGAACTTATGATTGGGATATAGTTGATCAAAGCGATACTACCTCAGTATGAGGTTCACATTCAGAAAATTATTCCAAGTTCCCGGAAAGCACCAGATGAGAGAGTTTTGCTACCAAATGCGAATGGCAAATACTCCACCAAGTCAGGTTACGAGGTAGCAAAACTCTACAATGGGTCACAAGAAGACCGCAGCTTCAATTGGAAAGGGTGTATCTGGCAGAGGTTTAGTGGCTAACCCGGTTTGTAAACGATGCGGAGCTTTAGAAATAGAGCTCCATGTTTTTCTGAAGTGTCCCTTTGCCTCCAAGGTTTGGGATCTTATACCAAGTATGTTCAAGCCTTCGGTGGTAGATACGGTTTCCGTAGCCTCACTCCTCCAACAGTGTAGGAAGATGATCTCACTGCCGCCTTCAGGACTTGGAAGCACACCGATCTATCCTTGGGTGTTCTGGTGTCTCTGGACAAATAGAAATAAACTACTATTTGAAGATAGATTTTTTTCTGAACAAGCCACCGTTCTAAAAATTTTGCAAGACGCACGAGCTTGGAAGGCAGCTCAAACTAGTGTTGAAAAGCCTTTATTACCATAGTGTGTGGTTCCCGCTTCAATTGAGGAGTTATCAGTGATTAACTCTTATACTTGGTCATCTTTTTCAGATGCAGTTTGGGATGAATCAACAGGAAACTGCGGGATTGGTTGGTTACTTCGTGATGCCAACAACTCCTTTGTAGAAAGCTCCTCCTCTCACCGGCGTTTTGTTCCTTCAGCTCTTGTGGCTGAAGCATTGGTTGTCAAAGCGGCTATGTCCGCTGCTCTATCCTCACATGTCAGCAGTATTCAGATCTTTTCTGATTCCAAAAACCTCATTACGCTCTTGAAGACTCAAGGACAAGATGTGGCTTTGAAAGGCGTTCTCTATGATATCAGATTGTTAGCTCGCTCTTTCACCACTATCTTTTTTTCTCATGTTTTGCGTTTAGTAAATGTTGAAGCTGACTCTATTGCTAAAGGAGCTTTATCTTCCATTTCTGTTCCTACTTCTGTTGTAGAGTGACTCGAAAAGTTTCTTATATGAATCGTTATTTGCTCAAAAAGAAAAAAAACTTGATCTTCATTATTCCCAAGGTCTTTTTCATACTATCCAGATTGCAGCTACATATCTTCTCTCCTTCAAAAACATTTTCTCTTTACCTTTTTATTTGTGATCGTATAAGCTACTCTTTAGTACGTTCCTAGAATAAAAGAATGTGCTAATAACATTCTGGTTCAATATAAAGTTCGTTTTTTAAACAAGTACTAAAATCTACTATACACAGTGCCAAACTGTTGAATATTGTTCGGATAAAATAAGCTATATTATATACATTTAATTATTAAGTCTGATTTTACAAAGGTTGCAATGCTACGTATGGTAGGTTCTTATTTATTTGCTCAATAGGAAAATTACAAACAGCTAGCCTTAGAAGACTGGCCATTTTGATTGTTGGAAAACACTTCTGCACGTACCCAACTAAGACAAATGACTTGACTTCTCTTGATAACGTCTCATGGATTTATGCACTTTATGAATACAAATTAATAAGGTTTGATTAATATACAGAGGAGTGTTTCACAAACCTAAGTTGCATTTGAAGTAATAGCTATTTTAGTATCCATTGAAGAATCTAATACTATGGCATTCATTCTAACACTTTCAAAACCCAGAAATTTGATCTTTTTAGTACCGCACTTCCTCCCACTTCCCCTTACTACTCCACGTTTTTCTAATACTATATATATTCTATTAAAATAGAGTCATTCTTTTTATCTATTAATACAAGTTGTCATTTAAATTTTGACTATTTCTAGAGTGTTACAAATAATACAAGTCATATAGTTAATTGAACCGCATTACTTAAATTAAACTGATGGTTATTTATGGGATATAGTCTTGGGCTTATTTAAAACAAATTATATGGTTTAGTTTTTGAGCTTAGTATTAAGGAAAAACTCCAAAAACATTGAATAAACTTTTCACCTTAATGGATCAAAAAATCAGTTATTATTTTTAAGCCCAAAAGGTATTTAATTTTTTTAAACAAAACAAGATTATCTATTATTAATTATTTATTTAAATCATGTACCTTAAAACATGTTAATGTATTTTTTTTTAATTTTAAATAACAATCACTTTTTTTTGATAAATTTCAGTGGTAACTTTTAAATAATTTATTCTTTTATTTCTGTTAAATAATTTACTGATTTAAAAAAATGTATAGCAAAACCAAAAATCAATTCTAAAAACTAAAATCCAAAAAAAAAAAACTGAAAAACAGATTATATTTTTTTGCTTTTATTTATTTACAAAATAAACTATTACAAATTTCTTTAAAAAAAAATTGTCATCTTTTCAGTTTTAAATTAGATATTCGATTATTTGGGATTTGTTTGTTAGTAATATCCGTTCAAACTAACTCAGCGGGTCTAAAACTTAAAAACCAAATCAAAAGCTGAAAATCAAAAAGAAACTTAAAAACTAAAAACCAAAAACCAAAATCTAAAACAAAATCTAAAACAAAAACTAAAACTAAAAACTAATAAATAAAAATTATAACCACAAATTTTGGTGAATTGATTTTATCCCAAAACATTATTTAAATTAAGACAAAACTCATTACATAAATTTTTAATCATAAAAAGTTTCTGCGCTTTCAAGTGCGGGTCAAAATCTAGTTCTCATTACGATAGACGTCATGCACCCGTATTATATAATTCGACTGCCCTTTCTTAACTAAATAATATAGGAATTTAACTGCATTACAATTATAGTTTCATAATTATATTGACTAGAGGATAACGTAAGAATAATGTTGTCATGCAATAACAACTTACCTAATTTTCATACGTTTGCAAATTAAACGCCATTACATCTGGTCAAAATAAAAAATCCCACATTTAAGGTCTTCATCAACGATATGTTACAAGAAATAAACACAAACGCAAGCTTACTCACCCTCATTCTCTATAAGACCGACTTATAAGACAACCAACATAAAACATACAAACGCCCCAGTCAACCTAACAATGAATAATGAACCGCTCCTGCTGTATCAAATCTCACACCAAACTAAACCTCCTGGAGTCAGACCCAGGATAACGCTAAAGGTCCATCCACAGACCCAGTACACAACAATCAGTCATTGATTTTCAGCTACCAATTGTCACCGACTGTGAAGGTAATTAAAATGAAAAAGAGTACATCGATTTCATGTTAGCTTACCATCAGATAAAGCCTGAAGACTCCACAATGCTTATTCATAAGACTTCGGAATACGTGATGAAAATACTAACAACCAGCGTTGTCGACATAAACTCTGATAATGAAATTACTCTAACAATCATGGACAACAACCCAGACGCAGCTGCAAGACTTGACGTCGACCTTATCATAACCGACCTTCAGGGAACTACATGACCTCCAAATATGGAAGAATATTACAACACATGCATTGTGTGGTTTGGGAATTTCAACAATGGAAATTACACATGTTCTCTTTCTTGCGGCCATCAATTTCATTTCCCGTGCATTGACGAATGGCTCCGTACAAACATTAGTTGTCCCATATGTAGGGAGACTAATGTTTAGAGCCTCTAGTATCACAATTATAAATGGGTTTCTATTTTATTATTAGTTTTAGTGATTTACTATTTTCACTCTGACAAAATTCAATAAATAATAATAGTAATGGTTTTGAAAAAGCCTTCATATTATCATTTCTAAAAAACTATCTCTTATATCTTAAACTGAAATAATACGTCCAGTATTATAACTTTCATATTCCAAATTTAAACCCAAAATCACCAAAACATTTTACCTTATTTAAAAACATATATATAAACAACAAAGAATTAAGTCTTAAGATATACAAAATCTTTAAAATTAACAAGGAATTTTTTTTTAAAAAAAAGAGCCAAGTTCTATACATGAATTAGAACTACAAATTATATATGTAGCTCAAAATACAATAATAGTTCGTGTTGTTTTTGTATTCTAAACTCAGTTTTGATATTTTAAACTAATTTAAAAACTTATTACCAAAATGCAAGAACAAAACTATATCATAAACAACACATATAAAAATATGGATTATTTTATATTCACACAAGAAAATTAATTATAATTTTTATAAGTAATTTTACGCCTATTCTCTACATTCCGTCTTCCATTCAACCTTAAACCGGAGTAAAGTTAGACCTGAAATTACAAAAAAAAAACAACTAATTATAATTAAAAAAGGAAAAAAAAAAACCTGCAGAACAAAATTCAAAACAGTCGCTACCTCAAGTATTTTTACTTGCTTACTTTTATAACACAAAATATAACAAAGGTACAAGTGAGAATGCTCAAACCCTTAGTCTGGGACTCATACAAGCGCTACGCTACCAGTAGGCCAAGAGCACAATTCGTAAACTGTATGAATAACAATCTATTGATGATGCATTATCGTCATACTAGAATTCAAATTTTAGATAGGCTAAAAAAATATTGTTTACCTACAAATGCTCAAACACTTACTCCGGGACTCATAGAAGGGGTACGCTACCACCACGATAAGGACACACTATGTAAACTCTATGAATCACACAAAACATATAGCCACAATATTAAAATTGTTGTACATTGAACTCGAACCCAAATGCGGAACATATACGAGGTGATACTCCACCAGTAAGCTAAATTCACACATCGGAATGTATATGGAAAAAAATACAATATATTCTTCCAAAGCCTTACTCCATTGCCAAGTGTCGATTTCTTCAATTGTGAGCCACCGAGTGTTTCGTCTTCCTCTATACGAGGGAAAATCTAGACTGTTCCCATTCTACCAAGGAAACAATTCTCTTCCCATCGACCCTAATCCACCATGTTTGTGCCTAGGCCTGGGAATTTCGGGTATCGGTTCGGTTTGGTTCGGGTTGTTCGGGTTTTGGGTAGTTCGGGTAGGGAGTTAGAGGATCCATTTACCACTTAACCTATTTTCGATTTGGTTCGGATAGTTCCGGGTTCGGTTCGGTTCGGATAGTAAAACTAGGAACCATAAAACACCTAGAAAATTGGTTCTCATTTGGTTCCGGTTTGAGTTCGGGTAGTTCGGATAAATTATCGGTTATTTAGGATAAAATATCAAATAATTAGAATGATTTAGATACAAATTTTAGTTGTTTCAGATAAAATTATCCGTAGTTCGGATACTCTATAATTATTTAGTTATCTTCAACTATTTTGAATACTTTTAATAAATTTTTAAAGTAAAATCATATATTTAATTATGTTATATGTATATAAAACTAATATTATTATATATTCGGGTATCCTTTCGGTTCTCGGTTCGGTTATTTAAGATATATAAATATAAGAACCGTTCGGATATTTGAAGGTCTCGGTTCGGTTCTGGTTTTGGATATTTTGGTTCGGTTCCAGTTCGGTTCTTCGGTTCCGGTTTTTTCGCCCATGCCTATTTGTGCCTCAAGTTCCATTCCTAACCTTCGAGAACATCTAGAGAGAGGCCAACGGTTGTTCTCTAGAACTATTCCGATCATCGGAGGATACCATCTCCGGCATCGTGATGATGAAACCAGTAGAAATTATGGTTTCCTCCATCTTCGTGGATTTGTAGTTCAAGATTCTCTAGATCCTACTGATCCCTCTTTAAGTGACGCGTTTAGGGTTATAGATAGAATCAGTTGGTCATATACTGTTATGCATGTGCATAGCTTTTGTCCTAGGGTTGTTAGAGAATTCATCTCTAACAAACCCTTCCACAGCGAGCATGCTCTTATTAGGGGACATCTGTTCAACTTTTCCCCTTTACTGATCAACAGTTTGATGATGACGCCAGCTGTTCCACACTTATACAGATGGAGTTATGTTACTTTAAAGGAAGCTATCACATTTCTCACTGGAGACAAGTGCTATGCGTGGAGAGGTTTTAACATCACTGATATGGTCGACCCCTTTAAGACTCTGTACCGAATTTGTGAGTTGAATTGGCTACCAGATCCAGATTCTGATGCAATGATAAAAAACCACCTCAAGCTTCTATACGCTCTTGCCAAGCGCATTCCAGACGACTTTGGTCATCTTGTGTATGACCAAGTGATTGACATGGTCCGCTTAACAGATTCGGACACAAAGCTGATTTTCCCCAACCTCATATACCAGCTCTTGACACTTCAACATGAGGTTCCGAAGTTACTAGGAGACAAAGAAACTGTCGGTAAAGGTATCCCCATCTATTCATGTTCAAATGACACAATAGAACCAACGGGGTGTAGAAGGTTTTATTAGTACTTTCAAAGATTTGGTTGATGTATGATCTTTTGTTAGGTTTCTCGGTGAGGAATCATCTAGCTATCGTTTGTAAGCACAATGACTTTTATGTTTTGCTATGGTATTAATGTCATAACTTCAATGTGGTTAGCAGACTTCTTTCTCAGTATTAGCTGCAGTCTATACTTTCAAGTTCTAAGTCTCTCATTACCTCAGTTTATATAAAATCTATATCTCAGGTTTTTAACTTCATGAACACTGCAAACACAGAAATTTATATGTAACTGGCTCTGAACTTAACACTCTAAACAAATCTGCAAACACAATTTTTACCAGCCCAAAATTTCCTCACCATATCAATACCAGCTTACTGCTGCTGTTTACGTTAACTTCCAACAGTCTACAACCCACCCCAAATACACATGAGATAACTATGAGAGAACTTAGTATTCAGAACCATAAAACACATGAGGGGAACTCGAAAGCAAAGATTTTATCCAATCATCAAAACGTTTACTATTCAAATACACATGTGTACTTGGATTTTTTTTTTTTTTAACACCATTTTCGTATTCGCTAATATTTAGGATTATTGACACTAAATACACCCACATACAACTAAATAATATAAAAGATAAATGACACCAATACATAAATACATCAAATTATACGCATAATCTAAAGTATAATAATATCATGAACGTGTAAAATAAAACACACAACACAAAATAATTTTCAACATATTATAATTACTAGGAAAAACAGTTAACAAAATGAGTTTATTTAGAATACTAACTTATTTTATAATCAATTAAACATAGACATATTTAATAATAACAAAAAAAATTAATAAAACAAACAAACAAACCGGGTGTAGCCCGGGGAACGGATCTAGTAGTAGATAATAACAAACCACAAACACAATTTATGCAGTATTTAATAATAACTAGATATATTTCCCGGGCTACGCTCGGGTTGTTCTCCATATATGTTAGTTAAATTTAGATTATGTTAGAATTTGTATCTGAATATAAATATATTTGGTATAATCTATTATAAATTTATTTTTGTTAATTTTTGTTAAAATGAAAGATTTTCATTGATAGAGAAAATATTGAATGTTTTCTATGATATGCCTAAGTAAAAAAACTAGAATAAATACTTTTCAACTAAATTACTTCATTTTTAGACAATCAATTGTAAAATAATTTTTGCTTATTTATTCCAAAAGTAATAATTAGAGTAAGACTTTCTCTATTTAAAACAAAAAAAAAAATTACTTCTAATTTATTTTTACTTTGTCCCCATTTTTATATTAAATTTACAAAGCGCTAACAATTATATATTTCTCTTAGTTACGGTAGCTACGGTAGCTGCTTTACAATTTTTATCTGTCTCTAGGGGTGGGACGGATCGGATATCCGGGGTATTTTAGGATATTTGGATCCGGATCCGGATTCGGCGGATCCGGATCCAGATTCGGCGGATCCGTAAAATTACTATCCGGATCCGGATATCAGGACTAAAACTCGGATACCCGCGGATATCCGGACTAAAACTCGGATACCCGCGGATATCCGGATTCGGTTTATTTAAAAAAAAAATTAAAAAAAAGTTCAAAATTTAGTATTTATTTATTCTATTAAAAATATTATTTTGCAAAAAGTTAAATTAAAATAATAGACTTTACTAACAAAATTAAGTATTAATTATATTTAATAAAACATATATAATATACCTATATAAATATAATTATATTTTTAATATTTTTAAATATTTAGTGGGTCCGGATCCGGATCTGGATATCCGGACTGAAAATTTCACTATCCGGATTCGGATCCGGATTCGGCGGATCCGTGAAATCACTATTCGGATTCTCCGGATATCTGTTTTTTGGAGCGGATCGGAGCGAATCCCGGATCGGATAGCGGATATAAGTCCGAGTCCTATCTGTCTCTGTCCCGGTCATGGTCATAGTAATGACCATGATTCTTGCCTCTTTCCCTCTCTATGCTTATGTGTATATTCTTATCGTGGTGATGATCTCTATGATTATCTCAAAGGTCTATGTGCATGTCTCTGCTTCTCTCTCTTCTATCTCTATCATCACCTGCCACGTAGATACAAATCATGGACACCAAGTA